TAACCTTGACAAGATTTCATCTAGCTCCTGAGAATAATCTGTAGATTTTAAGAACAAGGTATTACTGGGGGAAAATCAAGACGAGATCCTCTCTCAAGAGGAGCTTCCCAAGCCTTCCAGTAATTGCCAAAGTTGCTGGAAAAGGACACATTTCATGCAGGCAAGGAGCGGTTCAGTGTAGGAATGTTATCTCTGATCATACGATTTTCTTTACAGGAGGCAGGCTATGTCAAGGTTGAGACAAAGGACTCTGGCAGCTTTCATGCAACAGCAAAGCAGCCTGTCCTGTTAAGAAAAACGGTTTCCTTTAGATTATCTGTGTAGTGTTCATGGCCCACTGATTCTTCCAAAGTAAAGAAGCAGATTTTTAAATGTGTCCTATTTTGGATGTTGTTTGTGGATTTTTAGCTATCAGTTGATTGCATGAGAAGCTGCTCTTGTCTTTCAGGTAGCTCACCTCTCTGGCTAGTAACATAGCTTTTTTTCCTGGCAAATGCAGCCTCATCAGCTCCTTTTCTCTCAGTTATGACTGGTTGCTGACTTTTGGCTCTGTGGGCCCAGATGCACTGACAAGGTAGAATGTCAGCTAATGGATAATGAGTGCACTCTGCAGCTATGTCCCACCAGCAAGCTACAAAGCAGTCTGGGGAATACAACATAATGATTTGAGAGAGGCACCTTTCCCCTCCAGAGGAACATTAGAGAGTAAACTTTAGCATCTACAAGAACTGCATTGGAATAGAACTTGCCCATGCATATAGCACCATATATATATGGAGGAAATGAGGGTAGGAAAGCTTCAAATTTCCTTGTCCCTATTTATAGTTTCTTATTGTAGCTTCAAATGAATTGGTGTGAACTTTATAGCATAATATGAGCAAATTGTTCATCATCTGATCATGTTAACGATACCTGTATCTCACACCTACTTTCGTCCCCTGGGTAGGTTTGTGAACTGTAATGCTTTTCTTTCTGATAGTTGAAGGCTTTGTGGAGCAGAAAGTTGGCTATCGGTAGCATTTCTCCTGTTTTATATTTGGTAAGAAGTTTGACGATGGCTTTGCAGCTAGCCAGATAAGTCTTCATCGTACCTTTTAGAAACAAAACCAGCAGACAAGTAGACCAACTGGTCCATACAGAGCAAACGCCTAGAAATCCCTTGCTGAAGCTGGTAATCAGTTGAGTTTCTGTATCATGTTCTCTGATGTAGAGCTGTTTTCTTTGCTAAGTCAAGTGGAGGGATGCGACCAATCCTGCATCTCAAAGTATATGGATATATAAATTAATTAGAGAAAGTGCTGGCAATGGCCTTTCTACTTCTTTGAGATTCTGAGTGCTTATCAAGCTCACAGGACATCTTGGCTTGACCACATCCTTTTGCATTAAAGTTTAGGCAGATTTTCCATCTTTTCAGTTTTTTTAACACAGTTACATTGAGTCACTTACTCCCACTTGCAGTTTTTGCTGTGGTAGAATTGGTTTGATTCTCTATGTACCAGTTCTACTGGGTCTTAATGATGAGAAGGACGATGATGATTTGTGTTTTGAAAAACAACTGAAAGATCATATATGTTCACGAAATGCATGTAAAAACAGATGTCGCCTTGATTTTCAGTTCTCTTTTATCTTAGAGTGATTGCTGCCAGTCTTTCTCCCCACCCTAGATATTGCAGCATTGGAAGAAGCATTTTTTCATTTCATTTAATTATATGGGAATGATTGTATATTTCTTTTTTTGTTTTACTTTGAAAAGGCTGACAAAAACCCTTAAGATTGTTAGAAAACAAGAGGAGTAAAATAATGTCAGATGGATAAAAAGTTCTTGTTCTTTTTGTTTTCATTTTTTTTTCTGCTTCTGGACTTTTCAGCTATGTTGGGGTATGCATCAGAAGAGAGCAAGTTAAAAAGAGCTTGTGAAAAGATATTTCTGTTGAAGTAGCTGAGCCTAGCTGATGGCTCTGTTATATATGAAGAGTTCCAAGTATTACAAAAACTCTTGGTTTATGATGATTTTAGTATATCCCTTGTTTGTTTTCCCTCACATTGGTGTTCTTGTGTTACCCAGAGTCCTTTGGTTTTTTTACTGTCAGCCAGGAGTGGCAGAGCAATATTCCAGGTCAGTTCCCCTGTTACTGTGAAATCAGGGTTGGGGAATGTAACACAGATCACAAAAATAGATTTGGCTGAGGTGTTATCTCCATTTAGAGAGAATGAAATGGAACGTGAATCCCAGCTGAAAAGACTGTCCAGTTCTACTAAACTTTGAAAATACTAACACAACATAAGGCTTAGCAGCAGGAAATGGTAGAGACCACAGTATCCCTGGAAATGCAAGGTGATGTTCCCACCTGCCTCCTGTGCAAGCTTCTGTGTTTTATACCATAAAGAAGCCCTATAGTTCTAGCCAAGGGCACAGTAGCTACTTGCCCACATCATAGAAGAGTTCAATAATGCTAAGGAAGAGAGAAAAACACTCTGGGCAGTTGTCTTTATGAGATTTTATCTTTCTGGAGAGGGTTTGGAAGTAAATGCCACTAATTATGGCATGCCCCATGTAGTTTTGTGTCAGTGACTAAAATGGTACTGAGTGAGTAATTCCCCTGAAAAAAAGGCTGTTAGGAATAAACTGAGAAAAACTACAAAGGATGGAGAAAGAAAACGAAAACTGTCTTGGAGGTCAAAACCTGTGAGGATAAAGTAAACATTGCCAAAGCTCATGCTGGGTTAGACTTTGCAAAGGAAAGGAAAGTAAACAGCTGTATTCCTTAAGCATGTAAGTAAAAGCAATGTAAGGGAAAGCAGAAGTGGGTCCACAGTGAAAATGGGTCTGACGTAAAATGCAATTTTATGTATAGTCAGGCAATCAAATGAATACTTGGTCTCCAATTTCAGTTAGGACAATGGCATTGGACATGGGAGCAAAAGAAGTCAGTGTGTAGCAAGATTTGGAAATGGAAATTAACCCAATGAAGCTGGAAGAAATATTTAAGTATTACGATAGTGTAATGAGTGGAAATAAAATTTGACCGAATAGACTTTGTCTCAGAAGAGTGGAAGAATTGTACAATGAAATTGTGAGCTTTGTGGTAACAATTTGTGATGAAATCAAGCTATCCTGATGTACCTTGACTATCTAATTCACTGTAATACTATGTGACCATGGGGTGACAGAAGTATGACCTGCAGATAAACAAGGGGGGGCGGGGGGGCCGAAAAAAGGCGATCTGAACAAGTACATATCAGTTAATCTAAACAGTAGATAAAACACCTTCTTTGAAGGAATAACTAAAGACTGCTAGCTCTGCAAGTGAAGTCTTTTGACCTTATGAAGGTAAGTGGTATAAAATGTGACATGGATTCACCAAAGACTATGCTGGACTAGCTTGACAGCTTTTATTGACAAAGTAACTGATTACCTCTGTAAGGGAAATGTAGTGCATTTGAACAGTCTGGACTTCAGTAAAGCACCTGAAGGCTGCCACGTGGAAATAACTATTTAAACTGGATAAAATGAGGGAGTAGTACACGAAGTGTCAAGTAGCTAAGAAGTTGACTTCAATGAGAGATTAGAGGTTTTATTGAAAAAGGAAATAATGGGGTTGGATGTCACCTACAGACTGTGGTGTTTCACAAAAAACGATCTGGGGACTGATCTTTATAATACTTTCATTACAGTTACTGGCAAAAAAAAGGAAAACAATTTGCTAATGAAATTCATTGCTGAGGCAACATTTCAAACCCTCATCAATCCGGAGGATGATAGGCACGTCATACACTAAGAACTGCAAAATGTTGCAGACTGTAATACTAAAAATAGAAATGTAATAGTAGAAAGTACCAGGTCATGCACTAAGAAAGTGTTGAGAACTTTGGCTACCAACAAGGTGCTTATCAGTTGAAAGCAAAGAAGGAGAAATATCTGAATATCAGTCAGTAAATAAAAGCCACCAGTATTATGTGGCCTATAAATAGGCAAGTGTGTTCTCAGCGTGTATCAGATGAGAGATTTCTGGCAAGGTTGTATGTTACGCTGATAAAGCCTCATCTGGAAAGCTGTGTTCAATTCTAATCATGCAGGTTCTGGAAAGATTAATCCAAACTGGGACAGGTGCAGAGACCTTGGGGATGATCAGTGCACTGAAGAGATTTTCCCATGAGAGGAAGGCTTGGCTTGTTTAGCAAAGCAAAACAGAAGCTAGGAAAGATTTGACTCTGTAAATAGTGAGCTGGGTAAGGGTAAATGGTTGCATGGTATTTAAGCTAAAATATTAGAATTTTAAAATTAAATGAATGAATGCAGGTTAGAATTTAATTCATTGAGTGCCACAGTGAATGAAGCTCCTGTATACTTTTCTCCACCTGCCTGATTCACGTGTCCTTCAATTTTCTGGGCTTCATGGGATTTATGCTTGCAAACATCTCACTTTAGATTTTTTCCCTGTCGTTCATTTCATCCCAAACTGATTAAAAAGCAAATCAATTCAGGTCTATAAAAAGTTTTAAAACTTGCTCCAAGTGGGCCTATTTCATTCCCTCCCTCCTTCATCGTTAAGTAGTAATAGTATTTTCTTGCACCCTAACTCTGTAGACTTACCGTGACTGGTAACAATTTTAACATGCAGCAGGATTGCCCCATAGCTTTCCTACTGTGTCTCATAGAGTATATCCCCTCAGTGGCCAGGCCTTCCCCAGTACTTACTGCATAGACTTCATTGCAGCTCTAGTTTTTGCAACTGAAATGTCCCTATTTCCTCTCTCAACTAGGACATTTAACATTCTTTTTAGCATCTGTTAGCCAAAATCACTAAGATTCCCTTTTGCAGTCTGGCTCCCCAGCAGGTTCTGCCAGTAGTGGCGAACGGGATAATGACATAAGGTATTCTCTCGCTTTATTTACCTCCCTCTGCCTCATGCCCTTTTTCTCCCAATTGCTCAATTTTCTTAAAAAATTACAGTTCTGACCGTTGCATTTATTGTTTATTCACTGGCTTATTCTTTAGGTTCTAATGTAAATGGGCTGGAAGAGCCCAGCCTTGCTAAGCGGCTGCGTGGCACACCTGAACGGATTGAGCTGGAGAACTACCGACTGTCACTGCAGCGGGAAGAAGAACTCGAAGAGGTTCCCGAAGAGACGCTAGCAGAGCATAACTTGAGCAGTGTGCTGGACAAAGGAACAGAAGAGGATGTGCCCAGCAGGTTAGCACACGTTGTGCATAAGCTTTTTTTATACTCATCCCAACAGACTTTTGCCTGCTTTTCCCTTAGCTTTTTTTAACATATTATTTACCAGGTTGCCCCTTTTAAAGTTGTTGAAAATGCTCTGCGCGTGTACACAGGTATTTTATCTTGTAGCTTCTGTTCTTCTAAATAGCTTATTACCATTCTTAGAAGACACCTGTGGTACCATAATACCATGAAATTCAGTTCTAAGTTGGAAGGAATTTTTTAATTTGATTTTTTTTTTAGTTGTATCAAAGACAAATGAGTCTTTTGAGCAAACAGAACATGGATTCAAATGGGAGGGGGTTCCAAAATTAACTTCTGTATGTTTTTCATTACAATTCAAAACCACTTTTGGTTTAAAGATTCAAGTTTGACACACATGTAATCCTGACTGAATGCTGATGCAATGCCTGAGAGATGTTAATTTGAAGCAATAGTTACAGCTGCTGAAAAACATGTTGTACCTTCACAAATTTCTCTTTATCTGCAAAATGAAGTATAAGCACACCAGGATCCAAATATATGCAGGTAAAGCTACTGGAAATAGTTGTTGCAAGAGTCATTGAGAGAAAATATTTGATGAAGAATGCTTGTGAACTTTATAGTCAATCACACACTTTTTGCAGAGTCTCGATCTCTTAATATGGTTTCTAATAATTTACTTTTGTTTATAGCAGTAACAACCCTTACCTTTTCAGCTCTCAGTCTGTCCAGTAGTCGTCTTGAAATAAACTCAGAAAATGCTTTTACTGGTTTCCTGAGACTTAGATCCTACAAACATATTCTATGTATGCATTACCTACAGGTATAGGGCTGTATGAGAAATTCCTTTTGCATGCAAAAAACAGTGTTTAGTGGGCAACTCACACTATGATAGAGAGGAAAGAGAAAATCAAATTCCCTGTCAGTTTGACCTGGAAAAATTTCTGTCCCAAATCCAAATATGGTAAGCAATTTAGTCAGACCATTGATAAGGCTGTGTGGGTCAAACATCAGAGGGAGAACTTTCTAGATGATGTAGTTATCTGGTATCCTCTGTTCAACTCTACCCGCTCCATGACATGTCACAGAAAGACCCCTCCCAAAAACCCCAAACAACAAAAAAGGGAAAAAGTCTGACCACTTTTTTGTCAACAAAAGAAAAAAATGTTTGACTCCTGCAACAAGCCAACCAAAGCCCTGATTCGATCATCTTCACTGTCTTGGTGCAGCGCCGCAGGGTTAGGAGCAGGCAGAGGAGATGGGGAACTCTTTGTTCCCTCCATGTCTTATGGAGTGATGGATTGGGCTTCCAGGTTCACCAAGGTGTTAACTCTAAATCAAGCAGAGACCGTGCATTTTGGTGCACAGCTTCCCATCATGCACACACTTGGGAGCATGCACACTGCAGAGAAAGTTTACAGAAAACAGTATTCAAAGTACATTTTTTCAAAAGAGAGTTAATCTTGTTTAAGCTTCAACAAGAAAAAAATCATTTATGCAATCAAACTCTGCTACGCAGTTTTGAGGAGTGAAAAAACCTTCAGATGCCTTCTTCGTCGCCTTTAACTTGTAGTAACTCCCAGTATGTCACCTGCAGTTTTGATGTAATACCCTGTGGCCCTCTGAAGGAGTGTCATAAGACAGCTTGTGCTGTATGGGTCTGTATGGCAAGGGAAGAGAAGAGGTTCATTTCCACAGTTAAGGTTTTGGTTCCTCTCCTCAGCACTAAATCTGTGTAGGTACACCTTTTTAATGCGATATTCAACTGCTTATACAAATTCTATAAAGCAACCTACTTTGGTCACTGATCTCTTCTTTATAGAAAAAAAAAAGTTTCAGCTGTTGAATTAATTTCTGTGGCACAGAGTTGCCATGGTAAAAGGAATGCCCACTATACCAGACCATCTCACTGCTGTCTTTCGGCTTCTCCTTTCTCAGTATTTAAAGGTCAAACAAAAACCAAGTTATAAATAAAAGCCAAAGAAGGTAAAGTGAGCTATGTGGTAAAGAATTTATGTCGTCAATATTACATGCGATAAGCCGACTGGTTGAAGAGCAGCAGCTTGTCCCATTCAGCAGCCATGGCAACAGTGTGAGCAGCAGTAAACCTTATTGACACCACATGAAAACCCCAGCATGCAGCACCTGTCAGGTTTATTTCCATACCAAAGGGTGGGAAAGTTAATCAGGGAGGAAGGGAACATCACTTTTTATCTCTGTGACAGTATCTGCGTAAAGCCTTTGGAATATTGCTTCGGTCTCCTGGAATATCTACTGAGTCCATGGCATGCAACAGTGTTTGTGTTCCGTACTTAGCATGTGAAAACCAGGCAGCCTGTTAAAAATAAGTATTCAGTTTATGCTGTGAAAAAGTGGGTTGTAATTTGAGCAAAATAATGTTATATATATGCAGAACAGTGAGGAGACTTTAAGAGCCTGTGGACAAAAGTACTTGACAATCAGAGCATGAAAAAGTGGTATTTTCTTTATTAGCTTTGCTATCAAAAACAGCGTCTCAGACAAGTCGATGAATAAAAGTATGTAAATATGATATGTTCATGTAGTGTTAGACTAGTTTGAGGTTCTGCACCTGATTATGTTTATCTGCAATATAAGGGAAAGAGTGCTGCTGTATATAATTTTTTTTGGAAACTGCCAGTTTGTCACATACTGTAATAAAACCTGTGTATGGGAAACAGAATTACAACAACTGTACAAGTTATATTTTATAGACCTACATGAAATTTAAACTTCATTATTTTCAACTTGTCTGTTTTCCCCTCTCATTGTTTATATGGAATGCGATCTGCCAAAGGCTGTTAACTACAGTGGTAACTGTCATAAGGAAGCAGCAGAAGTAGAATACTGTTCTCATATGATTCACCCAAACTTTAACCATTCACAGTTTTCTTCTTCAATCCAGATGAATTTGGGCCTTTTAAGATTTATATGGCAAGTATCAAACTGTTGCTCTAATAAATGCAGTTCTTTTAAGGAAAAACAGAGACACGTCTTCACCCTGCAGATATCTTTTCTGAATGTGCTGTAGTTCACATTCATTTTCCAGTGACAAATGCAGCCATCTTTCTCCCCAGTACCTCTAGGTGGTCCAGCATGTAATAGTGAACTAGATTAAATATCATTGTATAGGTGGTTACATTTCTTGCCTCTGCTGCTTATACTGAGGAACTGTTAGAATTAAACAGAGATGTCTACTAAAGAGCACTAATGATTTCCTGTTTTGCATGTTTTAGACTTTGCTGTGAGAATAATAAGCTCATTATTGTAATTATCCTTGCACTGCTTCCTACAGTTTCTTGCCACTATGTACACTGTGTACTTAATTGGATACAATTTTTGTGATTCTTTTTTTCTCCAGCTCTCCTTAGCTCACATACTGTATCCTTTGGCATGATAGTTGTGTTGTGTGTTCTTTCTACTTCCAAAGCTTTCTGTGTTTCACCCCAGCAAGTGCCAAAAATATCTTAGCTATCCAAAATGCTAGCAGTAGCTGCCATTATCAAAAGACGTGACCTTCTGCATTCTGACAGTGCTAAGAACTCTGGTACCAATTTATGCAAAGCAACGTGATAGGAAGAAAGTAGTTTTTCTGCTGTATTCGACTGTCACAAACTGTAACAATTAATGCTGCACAAATATTTGGACTTGGCTTCACAGGCACTTTTCTTCTGCTTCATCTTCTTTAAAAGAAGCAGGGCAAGGACCATACTGCAGCCCACACGTGATGCTGTCACTAAAATTCCTATGAAATATTGAAAGCAGAAAAATTAGTATTACGATTTCCATCATATGTTTTAGGCTTGTATGTATTGAAACAACTTGTCAGTGATCTAAGACTGATCTAGGAAACATTAACTAGTTGTTTCTTTATCTTTTTTTCTAAACCCTTACAGTAGTTCAGAGTCTGAGATGGAGGAGGAAGATGAGGAGGAAGAAGATGAACTATTGCTGCCTCAGCAACCCCCTTCAGACTTGGGTGGTGTGCCATGGAAAGAGGCTGTGCGTATCCATGCCCTCCTGAAGGGAAAGAGTGAAGAACAGATTGAGGCTGAGGAAAATCATGAGATTGAGGACAAAGAAGAAGAGGAGGAGGAGGAGGAGGAGGAGGAAGAAGACGAAGAGGAGGAAGATGAGGAGTCGAGCGAAGGTTAGACACGATTGATTTGTCCTTTCTTTCTGCTAGACAGCAGGGAAAACCAGATTGAGTGTTTGCCACACAGAATGAGAAAGACTTGCCTTGAAAACTTTCCTTCTTTCACTTCTTTATTGCTTTGATTTTTGAGGGAGTTATTGTCAAGGAAAGCTTTAGCTGGATCATTCTGGATACAGATGATCTTTGCCCACAGGGCAGTTATAGCACTACTACCAACACAATATGCTTCCCATACACCATGCCAACATGTGCAATTCACAGCTTTGTGACACTGTACTATTTTTTGTTGTTTTTTATTATTTTGGGGAATTGGATTTGAATGTGCCCTTTGTTCTTTTGCAGCAAGAGCTGGAAGCAGCGTGGAGGCAGTGTTTTCAGTTTTGCAGAGTGCCTCACTAAGGGGCAGTGCCTTGTAACTGTCATCAGGGCATCCTAGAAGAAGCTGCTTGTAGCTCTCCTTAGTTAAAAGACAGCCTTGAGAAATCAGGAGTTCGGGTGGTTCCCATTTTAGCTCTGAGGGATTTCTGTGGAAAATCTTAGGGAAAGACTCCTTCCCCTGTGTTTGTCTCAGTCATCGAAATGCAAAGTTTGTGCTAAGAATAGACATGCTTCCAGTGTTTCACCACCATGCCAAATTTCTTGCTGATTTTGTCCTTGTACTCACATTTCCTTTTTGTGAAGACTAGTAGATTCCAAAGAGCTTCTTCGTAAAGGTCTTTGGCTGCCTAATGCAAGCAGAGGTCCAGTTTTTTGAGTCTTAGTGGCAGTTTTGTTGATGAGCTCAGCAGGCTGCTTGGCTACTTTTTCAGCTGTATCTCCATAACTGAAGTCTGTGGAAGTCAAGACTGCTTTTTAAGTACGGTAACATGCATGTTGTGCGTTTAGTCTGCTAAACCATGGTGTTCTTGGATGGACGTTATTTCATTCGAGCAGTTTTCCTGTCAGACACTTTGAATACAGTGGGAGTACGGGGAGTTACTGGGTTTCCAGACAGTCTCTCTTTCTGATTCTGTCCTTTCTCTTTCTTTCTCTCTCTCCCTCTCCCTCCATCGCTTGTGTGTGTACACGCGTGTCTGGTGTTATATGTGGATGTGTGGTTCCCTCTGCTGTAGAGGGGGAGTATTGCCCTTGGGAGAGAGAGCTGCAGCAAGGCCTCTGGCTTCAACATCTCTCAAATGAAGAGGACACGGGTACATTTAAAGGTACCCATATACCATCTCCACTTCCATTTCCCCGAAGGAGGGGGGAATGTTTTAAAGAGCAGGTCCCACATGAGAAGTTTCTGTGTTTTATTTAAATGCTTTACCAGCTCCCTAAAAACTGATTTGATAGCTGTTGTTATCTTCATCTCCTGGTCCAAGTGCCATATATGAGGTCTGACATTGCCACTGGTTTTAGGGAAAAGATAAAGCTGCCAAGTACCTCAGGATATCTAGAAAGCCTGGACAATTTGCTACTGTAATGAGCATGGACAGTGACTCCCACCTATTTAGGAGTTTCAGATTTGTTCCATACACACAGACTAATTGCACCTGTGCAGTATGTCAGACACATGGGGCACATCAGAAGTACTGCCTTTAGATTGCCTGTGTCAGCAAACTTGCATTTTTTGTTGTCCTTTGTGAGTGTGTGTCTGTGGGGAGAGTCTGTGGGGGAAGATAATCAAGCTGCAGCGATCCCTCAAGATTTTTCAAATAGTCATGTAATGGGCATAAAATTAATCTGACATTCCAATCTAACTGGTTGTGTAATTTTCCATGATGCATTCTCTTGCAGTTTATTTCTTACGGTTTGTTTTCTTGAAGCACTTGGTCCTAATAGCTTGTTAATCCCTTATTCCCTCCACATGGTTCATTAGAGCCAGAATACATAAGAGGAAAATCCAAGTGCCTTCCTGCAGGTAAGAAGACATATGCAGTTGTCAGACTGCATATTTTGCAGCTTATGATTGTAACAACTGTAGCTTAGCTTCTGACTTTTTTTTTTTAAGAAAAAAAAAAAGACGTGTTATAATTTTTTTCCAGTTTAACTTTTCTGATGGTAAGAATGAGAAGTATTAGTAAGATGGCTGAATAGCATAACTGAAGAAGTTCCCCCTGTTGCAGTTGCTAGTGTGCTTTAGACCTGGCTCCTAAGGAGTTGATTTGCAGGTGGATTCTCATTCCATTAAAGTTAAATATTGAGACTGCTTGCTGCTTATGAAGTGCTCGTAGGTGCTACAGTGGAACTGGAGTGGAAAGCTACCTTTCCAAATGTAAGTGCAATTAATGTCCAGCTTCCTGCAAAGCTTAGCAGGCAGCCTTGAGAGAAGGCTATGTCAGGTGTCATTTGAAATTCTCAAGCATTTTAGACCTCAAGGAAACATTAGTTTGTCTGTTAGCCAAGCAGCAGTCCTTCATGGATGGCTGTGCTGCTATTTACTGGAAAAGGTGAGGAGGACCCATGCCTTAATCAGGGCAGGTTCAGCCCTCTTTCTAGAGACTTGTGGAGTAGCTGAAGGTGTGTATGTTACACTGATCTAAATCCCAGAGAAATCAATTTTAAAACATGCAGATCATGTGGGACCTGCTCTTTCCGAGCCTTGCTGAGTGACTATATACTTCTCAGCTATTGCTGGCAAACTTAAACCTTTTAACACAAAGTTTTGTGTGGCAATGCAAATGCTAACTCTACTCATCTTGGGGCCTGCATGCGAGTGCTTTCTTACGGAGTGAAAACAGCCCAGGTTCCTGTCCCTGCAGGATGTCCGGTAGCTCTGGTAGACCATGTGGTTGTGCTAATTGATATGAAAATTCTCTGATGAGGTGACAGAGACATAAAACTGCTAAATACTTGGCTAAATTGTGAATCCCGCTCTGCATTCGAGTTTGTGCGTGTGAACCCATTTCCCCTTTAATAACCACTTTGTGGTTCTCTCCTTCCTGCAGTTCCTTCTGCCTGTTTCTTCTGCAGTTTTAATGCCAAATCTCACACACAGTCGTTCCTGAAACGGAAGTCCCAAACACTTTGTCATGTCTGGGGAAGACATGGCTGGGAGAGAGGAACTTGGTTAAAACGAGACAGCAGGAAATAATGAGTGCAACCTCTAAACGCTGCTCATGTTTCTTGTTTCCTTCAAACACTAGTGCACCGTATGAAAATCTAACTGCTTTTGAGGTTCTGAACTGCTGAAACAGTGTTTTGCCTACAGATTACTACTCAGTAGTAGTGACTACTGAGTAGTAATCTGTCTGTTGTGAAAATTGACTTCCTACTTTATAAAGTAAGTGGGCATTTTCCTTTCAGGGTGAGTCACTTGCTTTTGAAGACCACCCCTGCAGATGCTGAACACCTGTCCCCCCTAGAATGAGTTATTTTATTATGGGTAAAGAAAACCTGAGCTATAGTCCCATAGCAGATAGCAATAGAGACACGGTCTGTGAGTATGATACCTCAGGGTAGGTGCTCCCTAGGTGGGTATTCTGCAGCAGTTGAACAAGTTGTTTATCAGTTGGTTTTGGTGCCCATTGTTCCCTTTGACACTCCATAAGTAGCTGAGCTTTGTGTAGGCAGGTAACTGAGGAGTAATGCAATTTCTTTTAAAAAAATTCATTTGTGCACAGGAAGGTCCCTTCTGGGGAGGTGGGGAGGCTCTTAAGTCATAATGAAAATGCTCTTATTCTTCAGAAAAAAATTCTACTCTTTGAACAAGTCGGTACAAAAGAGCAGGAGTAAACATACCAGTGTTTTAAGTGCTAAAGTAAGTGTGCGCCCATGTGTGCATACGCACATACACACACACGTGTGAAGCTCTGAGATCCATCATGTAATTTAATTCACAAAGCAATATGCAGCGAGCATAGAAAGGAGTGCTTAACCCAATAGTAGGGAATGAAAGACCTTTTGTTTTGGTGCATCAAACTACAATGCAGACTATGCCTTGCCCTTAACAGCAAGATGTCTTTGGCAATAATCATAATGAATAGGCTGAAGGAGCTGGAAATTTCTGCTAAATTGGTATTTACATACCACATACTGTTCAACACCCAGAGAATGTCTTTCATTTCAGCAAAGCTGCTTGCAATAGAGATAAACTACAATGAAGTTTTTAATAGCATCTCTCTGCCTTTGGAATGGCATTATTCAGCTTTGATGGGAAGTATGAGGAGCGCTGTATTGGTGTATGCGTGCACACACAATGCTGAGCTTTTTCTGTCTGTCTTGCAAACTGATCTTAGCCAGTAATATTTTCTTTTCTTCTTTTCTTATTTCCTTTCCTATGATGTGTTACCTTTCCTTTCCGCTGTTCTCCCATCTTTTCCTCCCTGGCCTTCATACCCCCTGCCTACAACCTGGTATGCCATGCCCTCCTACTGCTAGCTGGAAACCTTAGACTGCAGCAGATTGTAAATCCGGTTGATCCTCTGGAGATTCTGGCAGATGTGCACTGGACACACATCCGTGAAAAACAGGAGGAGGAAAAAATGGTCCCAACCTCAAAGTCCTCCACCTCCAGAGGTAATCTCCCCCAAGCCCTGCTCCGTCAATTCCTGGATCGCGGTTGCAGCTGTTTAACTCCGTTGCTTCTGCACCCTTCAAGAGCAGTGTACTTCAGCAGGGGCAGCAGTGATTGAAAGGAACTAATGTCAAATTACACTGAAATTACACTTGGTTAAACATTTTGCTTTTCAGGTCAGTGTCCACTTACAATGTCTGCTTTCTCAGCTCCATGGTGGTGTGACTTCTTCTGACCCATTTGTCTGCCTGCTTTGACTCCATAGCATTTTTCCTCACTACACACATGATTTGACAGTGCTGGCAATCAGCCCTTGGTAACTGACTTTAGGGATAGTAATAGAAGCTGTTACGTGCTTTTTGTGATGTGAGAACTCTACGCCTCTTTAGGGAAAGCTGAAGGGCTATGTTGTGTAGTTACTACAGCAAAGATTGAACAGGGCCAGCTTCTGTATTGAGCATGTTTCTCTGCTGCTGGTTTTCAAAGTGTATAACTGCATCTGGTATTAGTAGGGAATGATGGGGTTCAAAGGGCTTGCAAATCCTCTTAGTGGTGGTTTTGACTCCCTGTGTTTAAGATTTGACAGTATATTTATTTTTTAAAGTGAGGTGTGACCTTTGTGAGTTGCCAGTTACTTAAAGGAAAACTTTGGAGGGGGAAAATGACAGTAATCTAGCTCTCTTGTAAGCACCTTCCAGCAGTCCCTGCTGACCTTATTCTAGACTATATGACAGCATGTCTTGAGGTAAGTATGTCATAGGTGCTTTGCCTATGCAGAAATCTAGACTTAATAAATGTTAAACATGCAGTTGATGAGTAGTGGTCTTCTCTCAGAGTCTGTAACCATCGTGCCGGATTTGTAGAGGGAATAAGTATGCTGTGGAAAGGGGTGTCTTTTACAGCAAATGTGAAATTAAGTTAATGACAGATCTCTGTTAAAAAAGCCTAGGGCTTTACCTCATGTTGCCTGATCATATTTCATTCCACATAATTATCTTTTACTCATATTTGTTGTTGTTGTTTTTTTTTTTTAATCCTGGTCCAACTTGATACACAGTTCCAGATCAGTTTGTCTATGCTTATAATTGCTGTTTGTAGAATGCACTGGGATTTTCCAGTGTGAAATCTGCTCCCTACAAATAAGAGATGGGTATTTCCTTCCCACTGCAACTACAGAAATAGGCTGTGTTCAACTGTCTGTAACTTTCAGTATTGCTAGAGTAGTTGCTTAACATTTAAAAATGCTAAGTGAAAAATGTTAACACAGTTTCTTAAGCTTACTATGATTAAGGTTACTTTAGCTTCTGCTTGAGGGTCTGTATCACTATAGTTTCCAAATTTTTCTTTCAGTTTGTATTTTATAATTCCTACTTTTCCATAGTGTATTGGTACAGCTGCCAGCAAAAGATGATCCTTCCAAAATTGATTTTGTGGTCTTTCCAACTTCCTTTGGGAAGGAAGGCAGTATTTCCTTTCCTTCCCCTAAAACTGGGGCTAACTAGGACAATCCTGATCAACAGATTAGCTGCTTCAATTACTTTGTCATACAGTACAGGTGTGTGCAGGTGTATCAGCAGTTTGTTTTTTTTAAAGGGCTGTCGCCAGTAAGTACTTGTGGATAAGCTGTAAGTGTTCAGCCTGAGTTCAATAGACAAGTTTGTTCCTAGCTGAGCTGTGTTCTGTGATACAAGGTGTTTGGAGAGCCCATCAGTAGCAGCGGTGATAGGGTTTGATGTGAAAGCCTGGGGTAGCGTGGCAGTACACAGAAGCCCCTCTCATTCTGCTTTGGGTGCTCTTCTTCGTCTGGTGGCGTTCGCACCCAGGCAGCACAGGTTCTGGGACGCCTGTTACGATCGCCCCTCTCTTGTTGCTAAGCTCTTTCATCTCTTATTTTCCCTCCTCTGCAGTTTCAAGTGGAGCACAGCAGCAGCAACCTGCTGGTCAGATGTGGTGTTTTTTTCACTGTGCCACCTGTATTTCCTCTAACATTACATATCCTAAGGGAAGATTAGGCCTCTGACATTTGTATGTTATCTTGATTTAAATCCCAAGCCTGGAATTGGTTGTTTAACATCTCATAGGTTTTATTCCTGTATTTGCTACTGAAAAATTTCCCTTTGTCGCTCTTCTGTTTTAGACGCTTACTGATAGTCTAATTTCGATTTCTTACAATTTATTGTTTTTTAAATTCAGCATCCGACCTTCCCTCCGTACGCCATGAGGCGGTACAGGCGTGGCTGGAGACGGTCCCTGGAGGTAGTTTGGTGATGTTCTATGTATTCCAATGCACAATAACCCTGCCCGTCTCTTCTCCATGCCTTCAGCAGCTGAGCTGGTACTTTAACCCTGGAACTTACGGCCCTGTCGCTACTGCATGACTGGATGTGGAGGGAGGGAGGAAGGGGGAGTGTGCATGCACGCCTTGCTCAGACAGCCCATTCTTGCATGAACTCGACATTTGTTGTAACCCTTCTGAAGGCAGGGCAAGTGGAGAGGTTATCTGGGGTGTAATAAAGTAGAAGGAGGAACTAGTTGAGTGCTTCCATTTGCTTTGTAAACAGAAGACTGGACCAGTTATTCTTCCCCTAGCTCCTTGACTAAAAGAACATGGGGCTTGCTTGCAGTTGAAAGATTAAGTGACAGAGAGTGCGTAAAGCAAGTGCAGTTCTCTGTAGCAGCTGCAAACTCTAGTTATCTGGTTAAGAAAACATGAAAGAAGAATAAGGTTGAAGCTGGGATCTTTAGGGATAGTGATAGCTGTTGTGTCTCCTTTGACTTGAGGTTTGTGTTATTTAGGAAAGCCTCAAAAAAGTTGAAGGATGGTAGAGCTCAGCTGGTTTTTTTTTTATGTGGCCCTATTAAGCTCTATTATAAAATCAATGAGCATGAAGATTCTGGGATTAGAGTAGGGGAGTAAATTTGTGTGAAGCGGTGAAGGTATCTAAATCAGCGGAACAGCAGTAGTTTGTGGCTAGGTGGTTGATCTATAGCTAAGTTGCTTTGGCACATCAGAATAGCTAGCTTGCCTATAACTTTGCTTCTGCTGCTGCTTTGGCAAGGCAGCAGTGTTTACAAGAGGTCTGCACCTGATGCAGTCTGCTCACGGCTGCTAGCTGATATGAACCAAGTGCTGATCCCAGTTTCTGGCTGCCATAGTGCGTAGCTTCTGAGTTATTTCTGAGTTATTGTGTGACAGCTTTTGGCCTCTTGCTCTTTATCCTAACTGCATATACGTATATACACAGTATATGTATCATATAACCAGCCACCTGCAAGCTCTCCATGTCCCTCAAAATGGGATCCACCCTTGCAACAAGTCGTTACTTATCTATGCATCTGTAATCTTCTGTTGAGTTTTGCGTACCAACCTATTTAAGAGTTGATTTTCTCCTCTCTCTCCAAAACTCCCTATGTGTGTCATGTGGGTTCATGGTTTCTGGGTCTGAAGACATACATACACGTAGTGGCATCAGATATTCCTAACATCAGAGTTACATTTCTGCAAGTTTTGATTAAGATTACTCACATTTGCTGCTACCATAAAACCATCCCATGACATCATTATTTCCAAAATAACATAAGCTACTGCATACCTAAGCAACAATCAGACTGGGACACAGTTTAGTTTTGTTCAGTAGATTTGTAAATGCCCCTGTGGGCAGTCCAGCCTTTGCCATATGATTCAGTCTCCTACGCTCGACATCTGTAAGATTCTGGATTTTTAAGCCTCTGATGTGAGGGAATAGGCCAGTGCTTTATCACACGTAAGTGTAACTGCCTTTTCACAATAGTTGACAGAAAATAAACTAGCCCATGTATTTGTCGTCTTAATACTACAGAGGGGAAAAGCATGGAAAAAGAGAAATTCCCAGGTTGAAGGAAGAAGACAAACCACCCACTGAACGCTGTGTTTTGAAATAAGCAAAAACCTGTATTAGAGGAAGAAGAGAGAGGGTACAAGACCTGCCATATGGCTAAACTTTTTTGCCATCCAGAATCAGGGAGCTGTGTCCAGACTGCCTACTGGAAACAGCCTTTAGCCCTACCATGGGAACCAACTGCTGGGAGTCATGCCAGCAGCCCTCCTAAAGATGACAGTATGACACTGTGTGCATTCAGGGCTAGAGACTTGCACGGCTTAGTTTACTGGTATAGGTGCAACCAAGAAGGTTATAAATATATCTGTTATCATTGTTATAGGACCGTATCCTATGTGTATAATTGGCAAATGTTGTGCATAATAATACATGCTGACTGTGTACACATTTGCAGTAGGATATACAACAGAGTTAGCTGTCTGCATGTTGTTGAACATGAGTTGATGCTAACTCGCTGTACAAATCTAAAAATGTAGTTGACTGACTCGACTGTGGAAAAAACCTGGAAGTGCTTGCTTCTTTTTTTATATTTAAATTATGTTTTATGAAAATGCTTAACAAAAAAAAATTAAGCAAATCATCCATAGTACTAGAGATGGGGCAAGGATTTCATAATGTTTAGGGTTTTTTTTAAAAGTGTAATTTAATAATGAAATTTAGGCCACGCAGTTTGGTCTTGTCTCTTCTCCTGTAATTAAATCTTGTCACAAGTAGTAATGTCAAATGCCCTTTTCAGAGCTATAAATTCAAGAATCTTTTCTTCATTTTGACCCAGCAAATCAAATTATGATCTGTAACACAAAAGAAAATTTTGAATATATCTTTTTATTTACTTAAAAATATCTCAATTAATTTGTGTCCTAGTTACTTGTACAGCATGTCAAGTCTCTTAGACCCTTTTACCAAAGACTACTGTAGCTGCGCAGAGTTAAACAGTTTCCAGATGTAATAATGATCAATCCCAGAGCTAGACTCTGTCTCTGACTTACACCCTCAAAAACCTGTTTCAATTTCAAGATGAACAGTTGTGGTACATTGTGAAAGTTCAGTTTTTACCTAATACACATATGCTATAAAATGGTGGTAACTGTTCTGGTGTGGTAAAGAAAAAAAAAAATCTTCCTGGAAGAACAGTAAACTTTATTCTGGTTTGATGCCCTCCCAGTTACCTTCTTGTTTAATTCTTCACAAGGCCTGTTGCTCAGAAAAGCCCTAGTTACTTTCACTGCAAATGCCTTGGAGACTCCCCAAGTGCAGGCATTCCTTGATTCATTGGAGTCAAAGTATTTCACCATAGATGTCTTTCTGGGTGACACATTTCAGGATTTCTTGTTTTGGCAGTAATTAACATCTCCACTATAAACTGTTGGTACAATTCAATGTAGAACCTTTTCACTGTATAGTTTTTTGGTTTGTTTTTTTTTTTTCCTTTTATTTTTCTTTTTTTTTCTCAATATTTGAATATATTCTAGCTCCATGTGAGGATAATGATGTGGAGGACGAGCTGGGCACAGAGCCTGCAGACACAGAAGGGCAGGCAGGTGAAGAGGGAGACACAGGTGCAGAGCTGGATGACGGTAGGTTACCACCATGCATCATTTAAACCTGTTACATGAACAGAATTGTATTGCCAGAAAATACTTTGTATGAGGGTACTTAAACCTGATCTTATTTTTAGTGATGTAGGAGTTTGTTTCAAATAGTCAAGAGAGAGCCAGGACTGAAGGGCAAAAAGAAACAGAAGAACCTCAATGCCATGGGTTGTAAATTTCTCATGTCCTCTCACCATCTGCTAACTAGCAGGCTTGGTCTTGTGTCCATATTCAGTATTAATGCTGCTGAATAACAGAAATAGAAGTAACTTGTGAAAAGTCCACAAAATTATGCCAAAAATCTTCCCTTGGTAGTGTAAAATGAACTGTGTACGTCAGAAGACATTGAAAACTTTCCAGAAAACTGGTAAGGTATGACTTCAATTACTAATTTAGTTATTCGTACTGATAGTCCATTATTTACTGCTTAAATGACTCTAATTAGCGCACAAAAAAAAGGAGTGAAACGTTTAGGTGCTCAGGTTATGAAAATGATTGGCACCATGTGAATAGAAAGAAAAGATTATGAAAGATTTTTAAATAATGAACAGATGTCCTGGGGGATTTGTATCCAAGATCTCTTGTTTTTTTTCCCCTGCCCTATCCGTGATCAGATGACATCCCATCTGATGCAGAAGCAGAGTTTCGCTTACATCAAGGTGGCGTAGAAGAGCCAGAACTAAAAGTCTCTGAAGACGAAGATGAAGAAGGAGCAGAAGATGGTTCTTGCAGTGTGACAGAAGGTAGTAGCTTTCCCAACAGTTTTTGAATTATTGTAATTGCATTTGAGAAAGTCTATACATTTATTAGATTTAAGAGAAGACAGTCTCATGGATTTGAACTATCTCACTACTGTCAGTAGCAAGATACGTGCTTGCATTAATGTTTTGAGAAGAATGTTCTGAATCCATTAATTACAGCTTCCTAATGCGTCAGAACCCATCTAACTGCTTTTTCTTGTAGAAATTTTTACGTTAAAAAACTTGTACCATTTTGGACATTTAAAAACTTTTGTCTGTGTTCCAGATGTCCAATCTAGAATTTGTAACAAGCTGAGAAATTTGTCACTACTTGCTGTGTGTAACATACAAAACCTAGAATATTAGCAGTCTCATGTGGTTTTGGAAACATTTTTGTTTTCTTTAGATCCATGCAAGCCATCCATCCCTATCCAGTCATCTAGTAACAGTGTTCTTCCTCTGTCTCCAGTTGATAGTCCCAAAGCAAAACAAGCAGAGGTAAGAAAGGGAATCTTTGAAAGTTTTCTATTTATTAGCTGTAGTTCAGTAGAACAGTTTGTTGGATAAACTGAGGACTGACAGCAGTGGGCTTTCCTCCTTTCCTGTCTCTATAATTTATGTTGATCTTCTTGAAATCTGACTTCTTTTAGACTTAAAAAATAATGTACTATCTTTCTTTCCTATCTTCAGAGTGTAGCAGTTCTGTCACAGTCACACAAATTTCCATCACCAGGCCCCAAAAAGAATTATACAGGTCAATGTGCAGTTAACAAGAGATATATATATAATGCATGAGGGCAGCTGTAAGAAAGATGTTTCCTGTTTATCCTGGTTTGGCTATCTTTTCTGTACCAAAAGTAGTTTCTCTACAGTTGCAATTCAAAAATATATTTGTATTAGTAGTAACCAAAGCAGTGCTTATTTATTCCAGAGTAACAACATAGTTCAGCTGAAGGAAGTGAGACATGTCAATGATGTACTGTCATGTTGTCAGCCCTGCAGTCAGCATGCAAGTATACTGTGGTGTTTCCAGCTCCTGGTGTGTAAGAGCAGGAAGTACATGACCCTTAAAATGTTCAATTCAAATTTTTCCCTCCCAAGTGTTTGTTTTTAAGGTATTATTAAAAGATTAGACTTTATCCTAGAGAGTTTTGTCATAAACCAGTTGACTTTTACAATGGACACATTATGGGATAAGGCTGGTTTGCCGACAGCAATTGCTGCTAACACTCACTTTCTATTAAAATTAAGGTTGGTTTTTTTCAGGACCATCTAATGATTCTGTTAGACATAGTTATTGTTTATATCAGGACTGTGCCTAAATGCAGTATTCAAGACCTAGGTGTTTAATATGTGTCATACAAGCACATAGGTGGAGAGGTTCATGCTCTAATAGTCACGCATCAGTTAAACCAAACTGTCTGCATTCAAAAGAAAGCCGGTGCAAAAGTTGTCATTGAAAAGAATAATACCAGAACTCAATAAAAAGAGTCCACTGCCAAAGGGTTAAATTGTAAAACAACGAATTGTGCTACTGAGTAATTTGGCAGTCTGGATGTAGGAAATGAAAACCACGACTTCTCAGACCATTAAGGGTCAAGAGAATTGCAGCCTAATTTACTCTGAATAGAGAAAGCACCCCATGCTTTAAGAAAACATTACAGCAGATGCTAGCCAGCAGAAAAGTGCTGTATTGATGGGAGCTGGAGCAACTTGCATCAGATCTGTCTAAGTTAAGGGACCACCACAGTACACAGAGTTGGAGATTCGAAGGAAGAGCAGGAAAAGATAGAAATGGATTTCTGGAGTTTAGTTTAGCGTTTTTTCTTTCAAAAATTAAATATGCCTTGTTGTCATCTACAAAGGATGGTTTGTACAAAATGGAGCAGGAAAATTAACTATACCTGATGAGAAGTCCTAAGTGATGTTCCAGGCCTGCGAATGGGATGCCACGTGTGGGTTTTTAATATTTCGATACTTGGATGGTTTCCTTATTGCTAACTTTGTTAAAAGCAAAAAAAAATGGAAGAGTATTCTAATGTTCCCAATGACTATTAGGATGTCCCTTTTTCATTTTTTGTAGGATATAAAAGATCCCCTGGCTGAAGTATCCCGTGCAATAAAATCTCCAGAGGCACGCTTTTTTCCTGAGCCTTTCATTCTTGATGAAGGACCAAAAGATGAAATTTCCAAAGACAGGAAAGTTAAGAGCCCTTTGGTGCCACCATCTCCAGTGTTATCCCAGCCAGTTGCATCACCAGAAGCCATTGCACCTACATCACTAGCAGAGTCTCAGCCAGGAGCACCAACATTGGCTTCATCCCCAACATCTGCTCAAATGCCTATCTGTTCCCAGCCTTTGCCTTCTGCCGAAACATCCATTCCCTCCCCAGTGGAGCCTCCAGTATGTTTCCAACCTGTCCCAGCCTTAACATCTACTCCCTTAGCCAAACTGGTCCTTAGGGGCCAGGATAGTGAGGTGGAAAAACTGGGGAGCCCTACTACTGCAGAAGAAGCCCTGAAACGGAGTAACCTTGTAGAAGAGTTCTGGATGAAGAGTGCTGAAATCCGGAGGAGCTTAGGGCTCACCCCAGTAGACAGAAACAAACGCTCAGAGACAAATTTTACTGTATCTGCCCTTGAGACAACTCCTCTGAAGACTTTTAATAGCGAGAATATTTCAGAGGATGAAAGGATCCATCTTGTGAAACCCCAGCCTGCCCCAAGAAGGCAGGGACTGTCCAAGTTTGAAAATGAGCAGATTTCTCTGCTCACTCCAAAATCTCCATCAGAAAAAGAGCTAAAGAATTCCAGTGAAGTAAGAAGAGATGTATCCAGCAGTTCTGGACTTGGCCTTCAGGAGAGCTCATCTAACATGAGAACTATGGCTAGCCAGAGCTTCAACACTTCTGACTCTACCATGCTTACTCCTCCATCAAGTCCACCACCACCACCTCCTCAGGGTGAAGAACCAGCCACTTTGCGTAGAAAAAGGCATCAAGCAGTCTGGCAGAATGAGGTTGAAGCCAGGTCACCTCCAACACCAGCATCAACACCTCCTGCTCCCCCACGCCACGAGCTGACCTCTGCTGCCAAAGAGTCAACCCAGGCCAAAAAAGACGACGTGCGGAAGTCCTTTGCAGAGAGTGTGGATGAGATTCCATTTGCTGATGATGTAGAAGACACATATGATGACAAGACAGAGGACTCAAGCCTTCATGAGAAGTTTTTTACACCTCCTACCAGTAGGCCAAGGCCAGAGAAACCACTTCTTTTGCCCTTGGTCAAAGAAAATGGTGGTCCACCCTCAATGGAAGGAGGGGTTAACCAAAAGAAGAGAGTATTGCCTGAAATTTCTGCAGAGGCCAAGGAGCTTGCTGAAGAAAGAATGAGAGCCAGAGAGAAGTCTGTCAAGAGCCAAGCACTGCGTGATGCCATGGCTAAACAGTTGTGTAAGATGAAAGATATGGAGATGGCTGCAGCTGCTGCTACTGGGGCCACAAGGGCACGAAAGGCATCTTCTATGCCCTTGAAGACCAAAGAGTTGTTTTATGACTCTCCAAAGCATCTGGCCTTGAAAATAGCAGAGGGATCCACACGAAAACATGATGCTGCTGGTGAGAAGTTCTCCGCTCCTGCTGCTGATGTGACTGGACCTGAAGGGTCTGTCACCTCTTCAGAAGGCTCCAGTGGGAAGAGTAAGAAAAGAACTTCTCTTTTCTCCCCTCGTAAGAACAAAAAGGAGAAGAAATCAAAAAATGACAGCAGGCTTTCTGACAAATCTAGTGGTGGGACAGAGGAAGCAACAAAGCCTAGGTCATTATGGAAGTCTGTTTTCTCTGGGTATAAGAAAGACAAGAAGAAAAAGACTGATGACAAATCCTGCCCAAGTACTCCCTCAAGTGGTGCCACTGTGGATTCTGGCAAGCACAAAGCTTCTCCGTTGGTTACAGCTGCAGGTATAATAGATATGTGCCTCTACACCATGTACTTTTCCTACAGCTAGGTGTCCTTGCAAGCAAGTTTGGCTTACTTTGTCATTCAGCTACTGTGCTGAATGACACTGCTCCCCAGAGTCAAGTGGGCAGGTCAAGATAAGTGCTAGCAACTAGAATTGTACATTTGCGTATTGACAGAATTAGTTGATGTGCCACTGAAAAAAAAGGATCCTTAAATAAAAGCTTCACACTCGGTATGTACAAGGCACGTCTTGTTTTCTGCCTTAGACTGATTTGAGAAATAAGCACTGTTTGGAATCAGTTGTTTGTGACATTTTGTCTCTATTTTAAATCTGATCCTCGTCGTTTCCTTGGGTGGTCTGTTTTCTTTCTTTCAACCTGGCTCCATGGATGCTGAAGACTGCAGAGATGCAGTTACTCCTGTGTTTTCAGTGATCTGGCAACTGTCTGCTGATCTATGAAGTGGGGATTCTGCAGCCTCATATAAATCTCTCACATGCAATCAGGTGCAGGCAGAGATGTTTAATGGCAACTTGTGATACAGTAAATAAGTTAGCCATAAATGTGATTGAAAGCGAACATGTTACGTTTCTCTGGCCTTGTACAAATAGGCAAAATAGTGCCAGCTGCTGTCACACAAGTGCTGTATCTATCCTAAGAGCATTGATACAATACAAAGGGAGAGTCACGACCATTATTTTTAACAGCATTTGCAGAAAGTGATGCTCTCTTAGAATAAAGCTTGTAATTAATATTGATCATTTTGCAGAGCAGTGCTGCTCTGATCACTCTGTAATCCCAGGTGAAGCAACTGAGACTAGCATAAAAGGACTAAGAATTTTTGAAGCTCAATCAAACAACTAAAAATTGAGTTCTGAAATGTTTACAGAAAGAATAGTTACCACTCCTCTAACTTCCCCTTTTTATTCCTGGCTTCTCAGATCTGCAGCTCCGTCAACATCTGAGTTTCTCGGAGGACTCCGACCTCTCCAGTGATGATATTCTGGAACGCTCCTCCCAGAAATCCAAGCGAGAGGTAGGCAGATGGGAAATGCATTTTAGATGGATCTAGCATCATGCAGGTCACAGGCTCAGAGAACCACATCAGAAACTTGGATGATTAATTTTATTGTTCTTACTGTTTCTTCTGTGGAACAGGCTTTCCTGTAAGTTGGCTGACTGTTCAGCCTAAATTAAGTTCACTTGGTTTCACAATTGCAAGCTACTCCCCACTGTTGTTATATGAAGGATCTGTTGTCTCCCTGTGACATTACTTTACAACAAATATCACAGAATAGTGAATTTTGTCCCTGTTGTGAGCATGCCAATGATCTACAGAAAACAGACATTTAATGTTAGAAGAATACATTTCACTGGCTCTAATGCTACTGCAAAAAGATAACAATGAGAGTTCTCACTTTTTGTAAGGGTCCGATTTTAGGATATTGTTTTACCAGCCTCTTTGAAGTGGTAGAATTCCAAGCAAACTACAGACAGGAAGGTACTTTTGTATACGTCAAGACAGATCATCAACTAGGAGGTAAGCTACAGGCTGCAGTTTTGCAGCTCATGCAGATTTGCTTATTTTTCCTGGGGGAAGAGAATGTGTACAATCTGAATTAGTACCTTCTTTTTTTGGAGAGAAGATGAGCCATCAGCTCTTTCTTCCATTTTGACCATGTTTTCTTTGAGGTCTTAGAATCATAGAATCATTTAGGTTGGAAAAGACCTTTAAGAATGAGCCCATTGATGAGTATTTCCATATGTCTGTGTGTGTAGATGACAACTGTGAAGCTGAAATACATAGTAGTGAGCCCTTATGAAATGCCAGTATGTAGGGCTTGATCTCAGCCTGGTGTTCTTGTTCCAGTGTGGTCTGGTATGAACACTGCTTCTTCTGAGAGAGCTGTTTCTTGTTCCCGACCAATTTTCCCTAGCTAGTGCTGTAATGTCATCTTGTAAAACATATCAACGGCTTTCTAGCCAAAATAGTTTCACTTTAAGTGGTGCTTTAAGGAAGTTACTGTGGAGGAAAGAGGAGACACCAGTGCGTGTCCATAAAAGACTAGAGAGAAAAATACATTTAGTTTATTTGCACATATTTATATGTGGAAAATATATGGTGAGAGCCAAGTGCCAAAGTTAGTTGCTTTTAAACTATTTATTTCAATTTTAGGATGGCACTATTAATGCAAAAGTAAGTGAAAAATGTAAGGAACTACTCAATCACAGTAATGGGGAAGAGCCGTTCTTTCATTCCTGAGAGCTTATAAGGTCTCCTAGACAGTTTGCAAGGTTTGGAGGAATAAGTAGAGATGTCATTGATCCCACAGAACACTAAGGCCCTTCTGGTACTGAAGAATAAAAAATGTGTTCTACCTGTCCCTTGCTGGTGGTGCCTGGTTCACATGTTAAAAAGACTTGGGAAGAAGAGAGCATCTGAAAGGGTAGTGTCACAGACACAGTGGTCTGTGCCTTCTGTCTCAAACCTGTCATCCAGGGTGCACAAATCAGTCTCAAATGGCAGGATCTAGTTGGTACTTGGCTCAGACGGCAAAGGTGTGGTAGTACTGCGAATTGAAGTGTCATAAGAAATGCTTTCTATGTGTGTGTATATATAATGGAATGAATTAGAATAACTAATGAATTTAAGGCTGGTGGAAGCAGTTGGTAAAGTAGGTAAGAATTTTCTGTATTTACTTACCTCTCTTTTAATCTCTTTCCCTAGTTGATCTAGATCTCTTCTAAGAGGAAGATTATTTTGGTTTTATTTTATTCCCTTTTTTCTCTCCCCCTTCCATTCTTCCTTGCATGCCCTCAAGGTGTTTAATGAGAAATTCTGCATTTTCCAAGAGATGCAGAAGAATGAGGTACCTGTGGCTAGCAGAGGACGGATATGCAATACAAGGGGTTCAGATAAGAGTTACAGAGTTACTGTTCTGCCTTGTAAGTTCCTTCAGGGGGAAGCAGGGCTTCAGGAAGGTCCATGCTTGTTTTCAGACTTTGGTATGCCTTGATGGTCACTTTTTTTTCTGTGCTGAGCTACTTTGATTTAAAATGGCTTTTGCAGAAAAAAAGGTCACATCACTAAGCATTGGAGGGGATAGGTGACAGTGGCAGATGCCTGGAATCCTAATGCTGAAAATATCTCACCAGCTCTGCCAAGGGTGTGGTGGTGGTGTCTCATTTTCTCCCATTTGCTGTTGCTGAAGTTACATTAAGAATTTCTTTTCTCAGCATCTGCCTATTCTCTAAAGAATAGTTTTGAGAATGAATTTATTTAGGGGAAACAAATCTGAGAAGTCTACTTACCTAGTTTTACTGCATCCTGTGTAAGGATGTAGAACGTACATGCAAACACAGGAATGCCTTGCTGTCAAACAAAATGTAACTGAATTTCAAGACTGACAAAACTGGGTTTGTACTGATTTGGGGTGGGCGTTATATTTTTTAAGTTACAAACTGCCTCCTACTTATTATGGGTAAGAGTTGACTTCCTGTGTGCCACATAACTTTTATGTGAACCCCTTCTCTAAACTGAAATTCTGCTTGTGCTGCTTTTTTGGTAATTGTAGTAAGCTTGCTTCCCAGACAGCTTGCTCTGTTTAGCCTGTTCTTTGTGGTCAGCAGTGAATTAATTCAGTTGTTGTTTAATGTAGTGTCTTTCAAGAGAAGCATCTTGTGAAGAATTCCTAATGTAAATGCCCTGTGGGTCTCGTGTTTATAGGTGTGTGTCATTGTGTACGTGTGTTTGTCATTGTTCCCGTAAAATTGTGGTATTGTGATCAGACATGCGTTTTGCTACCACAGGTAGCTTGCTTTTTACTGAAGGTTGCATACATGCTGAAGTTGTTCTATGGCTTTTCATTTGTGACTGTTTTTAGTTAATTGAATGTGAAAATGCAAAATGCTGGTTGTTTGCCCAGAACGGCACAATGCCCTCTGTACTTCATGACACAAGGGAAATTTACCTCTCTCATAAACCCTAAGTAGTTTACTTGCCTTATTTTTGGGTACAGGGTAATGTAGAATGTCCTCGGGTAGAGAAGGTAGTGATTTTCTCCTCTGGTTGTCCCCTCCTGCGTGGGTGTCCCCCTCCTGCGTGGGTGTCCCCCTCCTGCGTGGGTGTCCCCCTCCTGCGTGGGTGTCCCCCTCCTGCGTGTGATTTTAGCTCCTCAAGCTCTCTGGAGGCTCTCTTTTTAGACAGAGAAATTACATTACTGTGGGACACATACCCACTCTGAGCCCAGCTGGTGTTCTCCTGTCACTAAGCATGCTGTGAGGAAGATTTATGATGTTAAATGCAAATGATCATTTGTATGAAGTAGCGATAATTTAAAACCATGAAATAAACACAGTTCCTAGGACAGTTGTAAATCAGATTGTAAATGGAGAGTTGTGTGACAGAGCCACTTCGCTGAGCAGGTTCAGACCAAACGTGCCCCAGCATAAGCCATTACTCCAAATCCTAAGCCAAAATTTTGTATGTGTATGTATGCGTACTTGCTTAATGGACATGAAAACCATAGGTTGATAAAGGCCAAATAATTCCTCTAGAAAAAGATATTTCCAAGTTGACTGTATCTTTAAAGAGGCTGCCAAAGCTAATTGCCTTCAGGAGAGTGCTAGAAACTTGATTTTGTGGACAGAAGTTCCATTGTGCTTCATCAGTCTGGGTCATGTTCAGCATTTGCACAATTTTATGTTTCATTTAAAAACAGCTTTGTTTTATTACTGTGCATCTGTTTTCAATGTTGAACTGATTTTGCTTCATTTTGTGCGTTTGTTTTGTTTTTTTTTTTTTTCCCTTTACCATTCCCCCTTTAAAGTCGATTTATGTACCACACGCCTTGGCATTCAAGAGATCATATTCGTCAAAGGTAGTGTCTCCATTCCCACTAGCTGGCCATTGTTGCATTGCATGTCCCTATATTAACCCATTGAATCCATAGCTACCCATCACATGTGCACTAACATCACAAACATTGACTGTGCATGCGTGAGATGTTAGCAGATGTGGGCAGCAAATTCTTTGTAGAGGTTGTCTATCAAAAATGCACTAAGCTTTGAATTGTCTGATTAGAATGCATGCAATTATCAGTGCACAGCAGTGCACCACTGTACAGAGTGATGTAGATGATCTTTGAGCTTCAGAACAAATTGGTTTTCAAGGCAATTAAATATGTATGCATTTTTTTTTAGTACTTAGAATATGAATTCAAGTGAATCGTCACACTTTAATCAGTGTCCTTCAAAATTGTTGAGTTCACTGAAATCTTAGTGAAACTCTGTATCAAGCTAAAATCAAGACAGAAGTTGCATTTCTATTTCAGGAATGTTGCTGCTTTCTGAAATTATTGTCCTGTCTTCACAGTCACAACATGGGATAGGAAAGTCACACCCTCTATCACTTTACCTTCTGATTCGGGTATCATTGTGGTTTTTGTGTTTTAAAAAAAGAAAGAAAGAAAGAGTAAAGTGTTAACTTCTTGGAGCTTTAATGATGGTGCTCGCTAACCACCTATCTGAGGGATTTTTAATAGAGCTATGATCCTACCTTAAACTCTATTCACTGGGAACAATAAATCAGAGGTAGACTGACCAATGTGGCAGTACAATAACTAGATAAAGCAAATTTCAGGGTGCTCTGTCTTAACGTTTTGTCCCTAAAGTTGACTGTCCATGGAGAAGATCTCTTTCCAGAATTGGAAGACATCTGTTTACAGCTGTCCCTTAAGGCTTACATACATGTATGTGGGAATAGAGTTCTTTTCTTCACTGGAGTTCACTTAATGCAGTTGTAAAGTTTCTCTGACATTCTTAAAAGTCTACGAGAGGAAGCCCTCCTGGACTACAACACAACCAACTAGTACACCTGCTAAGATACTAAACCTCATTTCAGGAATGTTAAAAAGACCTATTTATTTTTAAACTAGTTTCACTGGGAGAAAAGAAGAGGAGAAAATACCTTTCTATTTCTATAAATGTAGCCTTTCTCCTTTTGGATGGCTTCTGGTGTTGTAATATTCTAGTTTTAGTTTAGGGGTGGTTTGCTGTGTTTTACACCAGTCAGTTTTGTGGGGTTGCTCTTGAGAATGGATTTCCTATCTCACACCAGAATGTCATTCTGCTTTCAAATGTCTTTTTGCCTTCTGGATTCATAGAAAAGTTGCCCAAATTTAACAGGTAGTCATTACCAGTTGTACCAGTGTAACTCCCAACTATGGATGTTCTTGCTCCAGAACAAAATAGGGAGAAGGGAATACTAATACAACTACAGTAGTCTATAATTATTTCTTAGCTTATGCTGCTATACCTGTTCATGTAGACATGCCTATACCCTCTTTTAAAATGAAATCAAGGTGACCCCTCTATATGGTACTTACTGATTTAACTAAATCCACTTGGCTAAATCTATCGAGAAATAGAAAAATTGATTTGATCTTTGGAGAGAGGTTTCATATAGCAGTGGAAGACAGGGGTGGGACATGGTGTAAAATCACAGCTTTGCAGTTGGCTTATATGCTCCTTCACTCCTGATTTCACCCTGAAATTGTTGCTCACTGCACTGTGAACACCTTTGCCTACAGAAGCTTGAATTTTGACACAGCCATGGCAAAGACAGAACATCTCCCTTCCGAGATTTTGGAAGAGAAAATGGTCATCCCTCCCCCCCATACCTCTGAGCATGTAAATAAAATCTGCTTCTGTTTTCCCTTCCTTCAGAGAGCCTACACAGAAGAGGAACTGAATGCCAAGCTGACCCGGCGAGTACAGAAAGCTGCCCGTAGACAAGCCAAGCAAGAGGAGCTAAAAAGGTTACACAGAGCTCAGGTAGTGTCTCATAGTCTTCTTGTCATGGCAGACAGCTAACTCTATGTGAAAGCACCATGATCCTGACATTTCTTTGAGTGTGTCATAAGAGAATCCAGAGATTGATCTTTCCTCTGTTTCTACATGATTGTCCTTCCTCCTGCTCCCTCTTTCAATTTTGATACCATGTCACAGACATGGGAAGAATGGCTGAAACCTATCATGATAGTTTTACAGGGAGAAAAATAATGACTATAACACCTTTCTAGTTGGAGATGAGTGAAGCATCATGCACTGAATGGAACAGAGATAGTCAGATAATATCTGATAAAGCTGCACCTATCATTGCTTTGCTAGTTTATGCTGCTGGGTGAAGTGTTACCACATTAACTTGTAATTACTGGAGAATCTGTTGGAAAACTGCTGGCATCATCTATAGGTGATGGTATTTGTTTAAAACTTGAAGTAGAGGCTCAGCTGACTGAATAGCATGACCTTTCACTTCAGCGTTTAAGAAGGTGATTGGAGTTGTGGCAAATAAGTGAGTATCAAGATGTTTGCAAAATTAAGAGGTAGGATGCAAGGGGCTGGGGAGGATGTTGTCACTGGAGGGACTGTGATGCTAGCTTTTGAAGCAGTTAGCTTTTGAAGAAGTATATCGTTGAATATAAATACTTGTTTTTGAAAAGGCCAATTTAACTGAAGTCACTTAGTGCTGGATGAGTGCTGCAGACAGAGCAGGAGAATTGCTGTTGGTGAGGTTATACTCCATTCTTCTCTGAACAGATCATCCAGCGGCAGCTTGAACAAGTGGAAGAGAAGCAGAGACAACTCGAGGAGAGAGGGGTTGCTGTGGAGAAGGCCCTTCGGGGAGAAGCAGGTATCCATCAGAACTTGGTTTGCTTTTTAATGTTTTCTTATCAAGTGCTTGTGCAGTAGTCCATAGCTGCTTAGATTTTAGAGGCAATTGGACCATTATAGCCTAGAGATAGAGTCCAATGGAGAATCCATTCTCTGTTTTCTTCTTTCTTTTTGAGGCCTCGTTTTTCCTGTGTTTCTGCTAATTCTGGGACTTCCCTGTTGGCAAAGACTTAGTTTGCTTGTCTTTGCCTTAGGCTTAGGAGGTAATTCTCTGACTATTAATAATGGATGTCTAACTGTTTCTGCATATTACTGGATATTACAGCTAGAAAATTGCAGGGGTTTCCTAGCTGCAATTCACATAAAGCTGTCACAGTAAGAGAACCCTGTTTGTTTGTTAAGGAAGTAATTGTGAAATTGTGTGTGCTTTCTCTATTGTGTTGGATTATCAAGGTAGTGTCCTTACAAGGGACCATCACAGAACATCTTCCTCACTGCACAGCCCAGCACACTGGCTACTTTCGACAAAGTTGTGCAGAGCAGAAATGCACACATGTACTGAAAGGTATTCATGTCAAGCTGTTAAAGGAATGTTATGTGTACTTGAAATTTAATTAAATGAGTATCACCTGATCTGGCAAGTGTATGAGTGGAGGAGTACTTGGTTCAGATAATGCTGATGGTAGTATAATGATTTGGAAAAAAGAATCCCCAATTGCAAGGAGTCAGATATCCAACAGGCAAATGCAGTGTGCGTACACCTGACAGGCCCAGGATTATGTCCCTGATTACAAGGGTCAGAGATCAGAAATGGTTATAGTGGAATAGGTGTTTAGAAAATGTTTTGGCTCGTTCTTGGATTGAAGAGCCACCACTATGCCTGTGAAGATGGAACTTGATTAAGCAGTGAAGGTTCACCAGAGGAAAAGTCTGTTGTGACTTCCCGCCAATTACCACTTGGCCAGGATTAGATATGTTTGATGCTCCATAAGGGTATGCCAAAGCAGCAGGACTGAGTGGTTGCCAAAGCAAATAGGTACTACAAGTGTGGAGAACAATCTTGAGGACTTCAATGGATTTGTGGGTTCAAAAAAGTAGCCTTGTGCAAAAATTCTTTCTTTGTGGTGGTGCCTCCTTCCTTATGCTGTGTATTTCTGTGTAGCCTCACTCTGTTCTCTGGCCTGCCAGTTACTGCACTTACGAAATCGCCTCTCATCTCTAATTGTTCTTTTCCTTTTTCTTCTTTTCATCTGGAAGTCCGTCTTGATTACTCAGCTGCTAAATGACTTTCACATAAGACATGTCAGCACAAGTGGGAAATCTTAGCATCTGAGAGAACATTCTTCATGATATAATGCTTTCTCATTGAAGAATGCCTAAAAAACATTCAGAGAGGGCAGAATATGACCAAGAGTAAGAATTACTATTTTGTATGGAAAACTGCAGAATTAAACCCTTCTATAACTTCTCACTCCCAGCTCTCCCAAAATGGAAGCAGTCTTAGATGAGCTTGTGTATTTGTGAATTTCCTAGCAGAATTATGAAATCGTAGGTCACTCTTTGCAAAATTAATCTCTTTTCTTCAAGAAGTCTCTAGGGTAGGCTTTGCTCTTGCAACATGTTTCCATCAACAGATCATACATTATGGTTACAGAAGTTTAACTCTGTCATAAAGAATTCACCAGCCTCAACTCTTCCAGTTATTTCAGGAGATTAACAAGTAACACATTCTGTTGGGGGGAGGAAAAAAAAAACATGTTCTAACCTGTGTTGACTGAAACACAAGATTATAAATTAATTCCATGTTTCACCTCTCTAACCACTCTTGCATGGACATTTTACATGTTTGCAATAAAATAAATGAATTTCTTCTTTTTAAAGCCTGTGGCATCACATTCCATGGGTACAATTAATTTCTGCCTCCAGTAGCCATTAATTTATTCAGGAGGGCAGTATAATTTTCTTTAATCTGCATTGCCTAAGATACTGACCTAACAGTGACCACCACATTCAGCAGGTACCATTGTGTAAAGCTGTGGAGTCATGCTCTTGTCTCTGATTGGTCTCTCCCCTAATGAAACCATGTAAACAAAAGTTAAAAAAGGGAAGGGCGGTGTATAAAGTGGTGTTGTCATCTGAAACACCCCCCCCCCCAACCTCTTTCCTTTTAATAAGCTTTTACAAGGGGAAGAAATGGGTGAGGGTGGGAAGTATGCCTCCTGTGCACATACTCTGTCCACATAAATAGAGAAGGATTGCAATGCAGGAGCAAAGTAATGACTGTCCCATAGACAGCAACCAGTATTAACTGTTCTAGGAGAACATATTAGACTCTGTAATGAGTGGGTTATTCAGCTTCCCTCTCTGTAGGGAATGAAGAAATCATTCGCTGACTTAGGCTTTTAAATACAAAGTTTTAGGTAGTATTAGTAGTAGTTTCCTACTACTAGATATTTGAAAATCCCGGAAGAAACAGAATTCTGTATTTTGTAATGATTCTTTTCTTTTTCTATTGTAGAAAAAAGATAGACAAGACCATCTGAACTACTTGTCTATGTCATTTACCACCTTTTAGCCTGTTGCCTGTTAGTCATCTTTCCTGTCTGTGAAGAATTTAAAATTTTGCTTTTGTAGAGGTCTTCCATTAACTTTAATTGCTCAGATCGCTGATCTCTGGACCTCTTTCCATTTTTAGAAAAAAATATTTTTCAGTTGGACTGGTAAGAACAAAACCCAGTACTATAGGTAAGAATTTGTTTACTCTAGACTAATTTTGCTTCTATTTTCCATCCATTTTGCATCATCGCTAATATGTTCTTGCCAAGTGACTTATATGAGAAGACTGTCCATAAATTCTTCACAGCAATGCCCTGCTGTCTTCCTGAGAGATGGCAGATAATTTAGATCCTAGTAATAGGTACAGACAGCTCAATACTCTTTCCAGGAATTTCACTCATTATCTGGTAGTTGTCAAGTTGGAGTATTTGGATGATGATACTAGCTTCAACTAATCAGACTCAGAAATATTTTGGAGGTCATTGTCAACTTTAATTTTGACAAAATAATTGCACCTTGTTGGCTACCTCCTTGTATTTTCCGTTTTTAAATTGGCTCAGGTGCAGTTGGTCTTTTATTCTTTTAAAAGCTGAATGCTCAATCTAACATTTAGGTTCTGATTCAATAAATGATCTCACACCCTATGATTACTTAATTGCCTTAATATGTTCTCTGTGATTATCTTTGAAAATCTCAGCCTTTGATAGTTGCATTCATAGCAAGAATGAATGATTTGGAATGTAAGCTCTATTTCAGGTGGCAAGTTTGTCATATACAGGTGGTCTAAGCTTTTGTCATCCCTTTTTTTTCCTTTGCTTCATGGTATTTCACTGCAAAGGTAAAGTAGGATAATCTCAATGAAAAATTTTCCCATTTTTCTGCGGCGTCCCAAGAGACACCTAGAATGGGATTGCTATTAATGTAACACTACTTCATATTATAGTGCATTCGCCTGTTTGGACATGCTTATGACTTTGATTTCTTGTGTGGATTTTTCATTTTTTTCAATTATTAACTTAAAAATATGTAAAATCAGAAATTTCTGGAACCTTTTTTTTTCTCCCTTATCCTCCTTTAGCGTACACTTTGATAGTCCTTTTTAAGAGCTGGGAAAATGTATCCTACTGTCAGATCAATACTGAAAAATTTAAGAGCCACCTCTTTACATCAAGTGAATCGTATGCAGTGAGAAATAGTGCTCTCGGTACTCCCATCTGTCTCTTCCCCAAAGAAACATTACACGGTGCTAGACTCATGGTTTACCTGTCTCTAGCAGCTGTGGACATACACGTCTCTGTTCTGCACACTTCTGTGCAGATTCTTCTCTGGCATAGATACTGCATTAGCAGAAGCACACATACCCATCTTTCTACACTTAGGCGTTTGCCATTCGCGTCAGCGCTCAGGCAGTGCCTGCCACCCGTGTGCCATACACGCGCGTCTTCCACTCACTTGCCTGGAAGCAATCAACCCTTTACACCTTTCCTGCAGCTGACCTAAGAAATTACACCGTTTCCTTCTGACATATTGCTCAGCATGTAAGCAACAAGATTAGTTCTGCTTTTCTCAGCAAGAACAGGAAAGACATCAGTCTCAGGTGCCGATGCAGGCTGAAATAGGTCAAGTGTCTCTGTGTAGGCTTCTTGATTCTTCCCCTTGGAAGTACTTGCCTGCCTGCTGGGATTTTTCTCCTCATCTTCCCAATATATATGTTTGTGATATATTTGTGTGTGTGTACATATATGTATATATACAGAGAAAGAGAGACATACAATTTTTATTTTTTTATATATATATGTGCCCACCTGTATAGCTGCATGTTTCTTGTTTGCCTTTTTTTGTTGTTGTTTCTGTCTGTATGTCTTTTTCTCATATATTGCTTTGATTGTGTGGGGCTAGGGTGGGTATCTGATTCAATAACTGTCTTCACCAATTCCTTGTTGTAGACTATTGGGGAGAGTCTTATTACAGTGACCTCATCGACTTGCATCTGGGTGGTATGTATGGCTGAACCTCCTGCTGACACTAACCCTGCTGACACTCCTCCCCACCCCTCCCTTCACCTACTTCTCCCATCCTTGGCTCACAAACAAGAAGAAACAGCCCTTGCACATGACTGGCTGTAGCAGAACCCCTTTTCCAGCTCAGGAAGAGGAGATCCTGGCATGCTCCACAAACCATATGTAAGGCTCCCTCTTCTATTTTCCACAGTGCTGATTATTTTAAAATTTACTTACTGTTTTCACTCCAGCCACATTCCCTGCTAGCAGTGGAAGGCTGTTCTGTTTTTTTGTTTCTCCTTTGTACAGTCCAACTCTACCATCTCTGTAGGAAAATACTGTAACGTGAAGGGGACAGCAGAACTGATCTGCTCCCAAGAGCTAACAGCACTGTAAAGGATTAGTCATGCCATTGTCTCCCTCTTCCCCTCCTGAGGCTCGTTTGCTTCTTCCAAAAAAGCCAGAGCGTGTTGATGATCTAACAAAAACAAAATGCTCCCTCAAGGAACTTTGGAAACACTTGTAGATGACAGACTCTTCTTCTTTCTTGTTTTGTCTTACTGTAAGGTCAGGAGAGAATCTGCTGTTGACAGTTCCAGTCATTTTTGCTGGAATCTGCTGTTTGAGCTTCCAGTCAGCCCAGTTTGCATCATTACACAGCTAATAAGCTTCTTGCTATGTTGTTTTTTTTAATATCCCATTTAGAGCTAAACACACGTTACAGTGTTTATCTCTTTTTCGCTTAGTGATTATAATCTGGTCATCACGCTGCACCATGACTCTGCATTTCTTTAATTAATGTTACTTCCTGAATCCCTTAGTAGGTGGATAACTTTGGGTTGCAAATGGCATTTGTTTAGCATTTGCCCATCTTGAAAATTAAAATTCCCTTTGCTAGTTTAATCACCCTAAATCTATTCTTATAAAATTAACACGTCTGTCAGTGGATCCAAGAGAAAGCAAACTCTGCCTGGTCTGCCTGGTCATCAGAGGGTCTCATTTCATTTGTCTTTCAGATCGTAAAGTTGCTTGAACTGAGCTGTGTTTTTGTTGAGGGAGTGCATTACAGTCCAGCTGCACAGAGTGGAAGATCCACACGCTCTAGGCCTGATCCAAGACACATCACTAGAAGTCTTCCCCTGATTTCATTGTGTTCTGCATTTGATCATTCAAACATAATCTTGCTGAGGCTTTTAACTGTCATTTTTTTCTCCTCCTCCACCGGGAGGCTGTCCCACATAGTATCTATCTGTAGCTGGCTGTTGGGAATGACCCCAAATTGTCGTGGCACAATAAGCTGAAGAACATCCACCTGAGTTAAGAGTATCCACATAAGTTCAAGTTTCAAAATGGAAGACTTTTCTGCTTAGTAGACCTAATTTGTTGCTCAGTTCCTCTGTGCTAATTTGATGTGATAGTCGTCCACTAGCCCTGTGCTTAATTCACTGTTCAGTCCCTCTGGCATTCTTTCCTGGGGTATCTTCTGCAGTGAGACTTTAAAACCGTCTTCCTGTTCATGTCCATCAGGGCTGGCCCATACTTGTATGTTCATAGGGTAGGAGCTGTAAAAGGGTTGATGCTGAATTACACTTAACAGACCCTTATCCCTATTTAATGCTATTTCCACTATACCTCTCCCTCCTCCTGCTTCTCCTAATGCCTCTTTAGAGACAGCAATCCCAACAAAATCACTAATAGTGGCTTTAAGAAATGCAAAATTATCTTTACTTAAAGGGACACTGTCACTTAAAAAATTACTGTGTTGAAGAAAATCTTAATTGAATATTGAATTTACTGTTTATCTTTTTTGCGTGTTTGCTTTTTCCACTTCTCTGAACCCAGTTACCCCAGAGTGGTCATTTTTGATCTTCTGTAACAGGCTGGTTTTATTTATACGGTGACTCAGTCACTTGGGCTTCCAACAGTCAGAGACAATGTTCACTCTTTTAAAAATGGTTGATAGATTTTAAAACTATATCCTGCTCCTCTCAAAAATACCTTTTTTGAAACAAGCTTTAAAAAACTGTATTGGGCAGTATCCCTTTAAATGCAATGAGCCTGCCTGGAGTATGTGGCTTTACAGTATTGTTTTGTTGCCTCTGTAATTTGCTTTATATTTGCTTTTGGGGCTGCCAGAACACTTTTGCCAGAAGGGATACATTGCTCTGATGATACTGGTCACTATTCAGTGGCAGATTTAGAGCTCAGCTTCAAAATTAACATGTCTGTGCAGGATGCTGCATCTGGGTGAAGTGCCATTAAAATCCCTGGAACGCCATGTAGCTGTGTGGTCCTGCTGAGCACTATAAGCAGCTAGGATGGCTGTGTAGTTAATTATTCTACTGGCAACTTGTGTCTCTGAGGCATAGGCATGACTCTAGAGTCATGCTGTCAGTAGAATGATAAGCAAAATTGCAAAATACTCTGAGAAGTTATCTGTAAATTGTTAATAATTTTTGAATGATTAGGACATTAATTTATTCTGCATTTTCTTTACACTAATGAGAGTTGCGTTTCATTTAGTTGTTACAGATTGCGCAACAACTTCTGCAAGGGAGTGGTAACTTCTGACATCCTTGGTCAAGTTCCAGTTTGCAGGATTACAGATTGCTATCTTAACTACCCCTGTTGCTCTGCTCAGATGCCATAATCCTCTCTTCCTGTTCTAGAATGTCGTGTACCGTTGCTGTAAAGCAGATGTTTCATTTCATGCTACAGATGGTCACATTTCAATTCTGAGTAATTATTCCTATGTGTATATCGTATATGCAGTTATGTTAAAAGAACATTACAAAGGTTGCAAAGTCAACTGAAATTAAGATTTTGTATTATGTTGATATATCAACAGATTTATAACCTTTAGATCCACTGCAGAGAACTCTGCCTCATGCCCTTATGGAATAACTGGTAGCAACACTAGGTTGTCATCCTCTGTGTAGATCCTCATGGAGAGGAAATGGGACATGGTCAGTGGATTTCACAGATGTTTGCTGGCAGCTGTGGAATGGTGAGACTTGAAAACACGGACTCTGAGCCAGACACTGGAAAGATGCAGTGGTCTGGTGGATACACACTCTTTGTCCCTTTTATTCCTTCTTTCCAGGTAGTTCTTGTCCTAATCCTGTCTTTTTCCATCCAAAGCTCCTTACCCCACTTCCATTTTCATTCTCAGTCCCAGTTTCTGCTTCTCAGGCATTTAATTTTAATCCTACCTTCTTGACAAATTCTAGTATTCTACCCTTCAGACCTCCTGTTCCTCCCTGCTAGCTGTTCCTAGTCTTTCACTCCTGCTCTAGTCTTCCCACTGAGTCACCTCAGTCTGAATCCCTGCTTCTGGCCTTCTCCCAGAATTTTTGGGCTCTGGTCCCTCTTCTACCCAGCATTATTTGTCTGGAAAATTGTAGGTCATATCTTCTCCAGAAATCTGCCTTTCCCCCCTTACCCTTTTCCCCCTCTCCTCTCTGTCTCTTCTCCTTTAGTAGTTTCCATTATTAGTCTCCTTGCTTAATTAGTCCCAGCCCTACTTCCTCCTTACCCATCGGTTCCTTGTCCCAGTTTGTTCCTCATCTGCCCGTGGAAAGTACCTCCGTTGTTCCCTCTGTGTTCAAATGAGTGGCTTCCTTTTCCTTGCACCCAGAAGGGAATCATTGAGGAAACAGCTCCACATTCCCATCTTGCTTTGCTCTTGGCTGGAGTATGCCAAGACAGGCAAGAAGGATGTAAGGAAGACAGCTGGTGTGTTTGATAGTGCTGATTTCAGACATATGTTCTCCCTTTTGTTAAGTGCCTTATGAACATCAGGTAAACAGGGGAGAAAAAGTGCGATTGCTTTTTTTTTTTTTTTAATTCTTTGTACTTTGTTTTAAAGAATACTCTACAACAACTTCACTTTTTATTAACTTCTTTATAATACTTGAGCTGACTACGTCCTTTAAAGTCCTGTAGATGTAAGTCTGCAGGGCTGGAGTCTGATATACTGAAGTGGGAACAGTCCTATTTCTTGTGATTGGCACACACAACTCTCCTGGAAGAGGAGTGGAGTTTTAAGATAAACATTGTTTTCACAGTCCGCAGCTGCTTTTGACACTGAAGTGAATTGGTGACATGTTTTCTTTGCTGTAAATTTGGAGCAGGAAAGAGCACTTGATAAGCAGAACTTGTTAAGTATACTTAAAGTACTTTTTAGGTAGTGGAAGCAAAGCAATTACCATTTACCTGCTTCTTTCTGCACACGTCTCACAACTGTCAGTTGTGAAACTAACAGTCTTGGGCGACAGGGTCAGTGCAGGACTGTACTAATTCTGACTACATTTTGAAGTGCCTTGAGGTCTAGTAGAAGCAGAAGATTTCTGTGCAGTCATTTGTGTGTATATTCTGCTCCAACTATTGCTTTCCCTAGTTTTCTTTCCCCTCCCTGCTCCTCCTCCCCACCCATCCCCACCCCACCCCACCTTCTGCTGGATAAATAAAGGTGTGCTTCAGTCTGCATGACAATTCAGTGGTCTGTGAGTTTTCCCCAGGTTTCTTCTAGTGATTGTGCTTTAGATGATATTGGGTTGGACACAGTTTTAGTAAACTGTTAGGTCAGACATAATGACTTATGGGATAATTGTCAGAATCCTTGCCTTCAACTTTATAATACCTGCAGTTGTGTGGATACTATTCTCCAAGAGGTGGCTTTCTGTATTCTTGCTCTTTTACAATGCTGCTGCTGTTGAACAGCTGCACCAAATAGTAAAGTTGGAATGCTTTATTTTTCAGTACTTGGGTTTCTGACGATAACTGATTTTTAAAAGGTGGGAAAAAGGGTATTTCCTGTGATCAGTGCACAGTGTGTCTTACTGATCTCTTTTGGACTGATCCTTATTTTAAGCACCAAGTTAAAATTAGAGTTCTTAGTCTGCCTGCTAAATGGGTGTTGGAAGTTGTTAGTAGAATAAGAATTTCTAAAGTATCATGCTCTTAGCTTGTGAGGTCAAGTAGCAGCATGAGAGCTG